GAGCTGGATTCAGAAGAGGATGTGGAACAAGGGATGTCATTGCTGATGTCAGATGTGTCTTGGCTAAAAGCAGAGAATACCAGAAAGATGTTTGCCTGTGTTTTCTTGACTATGGAAAGGCATTCGGCTTTGTGGATCCTAACAGCTACATTGCAAAGAATGGGAATTCCAGAAGACTTAATTGTGCTCCTGAGAAACATGTACATAGACCAAAAAGCTGTTGTGAGAACAGAACAAGGGGATACTGCATGGTTTAAAATCAGGAAGGGTATGTGTCAGAATTGTATCTTTTCACCATACTTCCTCAGTCTGTATGCTGAGCAAGTAATCTGAGAAGCTGGACTATATGAAGAATGGCATCAGGATTGAAGGAGGAGGATCCATTAACCACCTGGGATAGGTAGATGACACAACCTAGCTTGCTGAAAGTAAAAAGGTCTTGAAGCACTTACTGATGAATACCAAAGTATGAACTTCAGTATGAATTACACCTGAACTTAAAACAGAAATCCTTGCAATTGGACCAATAAGCAACATCATGTAAAATGGAGAAAATATCAAAGTTGTCAGAGATTTCATTTTACCTGGATCCACAGTCAACACCCATGGAAGCAGCAGTCAAGAAATTAGACATATTGCATTGGGCAGATCTGCTGCAAAAGACCTCTTTAAAGTATTAAGGAGCAAAGATGTCACTTTGAAGAGTAAGGTGGGCCTGAGTCCAGGCATGGTATTTTCATTTGCCTCATATGCATGTGAAAGTTGGACAATGAATAAGGAAGACTCCAGAAAAGTTGATGCCTTTGAATTGTGTTATTGGCAAAGAACACTGAAAATACCACAGACTATCAGAAGGATGAACAAATCTTGAAGAAGTGCAGCTGGAATTTTCCATAGAATCAAGAATGGCCAAACTTTGTCTGACCTACTTTGGTCATGTTGTCAGAAGGGACCACTCTGTGGAGAATAATATTATGCTTCATAGAGTAGAGGGTCAGCAGAAAAGGAGAAACAACGAGATGGGTTGACACAATGGCTGCAACAGTAGGCCAAGTACAGCAAGGATGGTGCAGGCCTGGGCAGTGTTGTACACAGGGCCACTGTGCGTTGGAGCACACAGCACCCAATAACATCATCTCTGAGATGCTCTCCTTTCTCGGATTTCCCCTTTACTTTCTAGTTGCTTTGGCTGCCCCTTTGTCTGAAACCTCAACCATTGAGATTAGGCTTCTATCCAACTTGAGCTTACTGGAGCCTCCCTCATATAAAAAGTTGTTAAAAGGAGAAACTCCCTTTCTGCCTGCATTTGCTTGCTCTCTTGTGCCTTTACATTGAATTTTGTTTGTAGTTTACAGCTGTTACCAGGAGGGCTGGTTTGATACATGCTGCTTTGCCATCAATAGAAATTTGCGTCTTTTTAAAATCTTTTCTGAAGTCCCAATGTTATGTGAAGTGCTTGTTTGTTAAACTTCAAACATGTCCTTCCACTCTGAAGAAAAAAAGTTTCTAATTAGGGAATAGTGAAGTATATTTTAATATGAAATCCTAGCTATAGAGAGACAAAATAACCCAACTGTAAAGGTTCACATTCAACATGAGAATGCAAATACATCTGGATGGGAATGAAGTCCTAGGGCTAAAGCGTTTTAAATGTTCAGGAGCTCTGGTAGTGTAGTGGTGCGGTGTAGTAAATTACCTGGTATGGTTTTTCTAGCCATAACTGCCAGCCACTGTTGTAAGTACTTTACATGGATTATACCATTTCATTCTCATACCACCCCTAGGAGATAGGTACTCTTATTACTTCCAGCTTACAAATGAGGAAAATGAAGCATAAAAATTTGAACAGCTAGCCCCAGGTGAAAGGGCTAGTGAGTGGTAGAGTCAATGCCTGGTAGCATATGCACATGGAAGCCTCTTATTAAATATTTCTTGAGCATGTCCAGTGGGATTTAAAATAATGATAATTCTAGTTCCCATTTATTGAACAGATCCTATGTCTTAGGCACTGTGTCAAGATTCATTTGTTCATTCAATCATTTCCTCATTTGTTCAATTCATCTCACCTACTTTGGTTATG